GGATGTTTATACCATAGTCCCTTCTCCTCCATTCTACTTTTGGAATTTAGGGCATGCAGGCATATGTACCTGGAATGTTTTTCAAGCCACCAGGTCTAGGACTAGAATTGCAATCCCCATGTGGGAATCCACCACCTTAATTGCCTCATCAGCGGCTGGCCCCTTTGCGGTTATTTTATATGCAACTTCAATTATAATCTATAGTGCTCAATTTTTATTTTTTGTTATTGATTGCTTCTTAATAATTTTGAATCAGCCTCTTTGTGACTTCATAGAAGACCCCATACTTTTATACACTGAGAATTAGATAAGCTGGTTGGTGGTAACTCTGTTCCACCCTGTAAGGTTGTATATTGGCCACTACAACCTTTCTCAGATTCTGATAATCCAGGTTGAGGACTTTTTGGTTTGTGATGGTCTAATGTGGACAAATATCTGAACAACAGTTCTCAATCCTTGGAAAGTTGTGGAACGCTTTGTTCAAATATAATCTGGTTAGAAAGCCCAAGAAGTAATACCTATGAATATAGCCTTTTAAGGGTATATGTGGGGTAAATGGAGTCCTAAATGTACCTGCTCAAAAACCCATCCTTGAATTAGAACATTCTTGTGGGAAATCCCTGTTTCTCCACAGTTTATTTTAAACACGGATGAACTATTTTACATATCTTTCAAAGGCACTTTTTAATCTATGTTATTAATTTCTTAAAAGTTAACAATGAAAATGATTCTTCATAATCCAAGTAAAGACTCCTTTGTTGAAGGCCACTTTGTTTCCAGTACCTTGTGAAGTGATGTCCTGGATTTTTTTTTTCTCTCTCTCTTTCTCTTTCCTAAATTCAGCAACTATTGTCAAAAAGACTACAATAATTCTTAGTCTACATTCTCGGCTTATAGCAAATGTAGCAAATGGTCAATTGGTGTCCATAATCATAGCTTCAGTGTTTTGTTTTTTTCTTTTTCCCCTACTGAGGAAATGGAAATATTGCTTTTATTAGATTTTCAAAGGAGTATAGGACCACTTTCTAAAAAGAAAAAGGTAGATGGATTCTCCCCACTCAGTGTCCTCTCCAACATACAACACACTCACACATGTAGGAAAAATCTAGTAGCCGTGAAATTCAAATGCTTCTGTGAAAGGCAAACATATGTTTAGTTCCAAGTATGTGTGTATTATTTTTTTAGGGTCATTTTTGAGGAAGTATACACATTCTCAAATGTTACTGGAATAAATAAGTCCCTCTCAAAACTATAGAAAAGCCAAGTTCAGTGTTTGTAGGAATTGGTTACTGGGTTATTGTTATTAGATTCATGAAGTGAACCTACTATCAAGGCCTAGGCCATTCACGTATTTACCTCAGCAGAATGAAAAAAACTACTTAATGATCACCTGATATTTTTGACAGATAGTGTTCTAAATTGTTAACAAATCATTAACTTATTTATTCTCATACCAAATCTATAAGGTAGATATTATTCTTACATTTTGCTTGGGGAAACTAACGCATACTATGTTTTTAAGTAATTTCCACAAGTTCATGCAGTTAGTGGCAGAGCTGGGATTTAAACCCGAGAAGTCTTGCAAATTTTCATGAAGAATCTATGGATTTAGGCCATGGGCCACCAGAGTCTATCAAAAATTACTTGAAATGTCAATGTTAAAACCCATAGGTAACGACATTTCAGGTTGTTTTCTGGACTTGCAAAATAAGAGAGTATGTTCACTTGTAATTTCCCAGTTTACTTAGTCAAGGACACAGAAGAATGGAGGCGCACTGGAGAAACAGTTACAGCACAATTTAAAGCTGTCTTCTTGACCTCTGAGGTCCCTAACTGGGAGCATGAAGCTGTCAGAGACTCTGTCACAGTGGAGCAGATGTTTGCAAGATGTGGAGATATTTTGTTTCGTAGAAATCTTTTTTTTTCTTGGGACTTAGGAAGGTATTCAGAAATAACTTACAAAATCTCTTTACTTGTATTTTAGGGATCTTTATAAATACTTCTCTTAAGTCAAGATTGTCAAAGATCTTTATTCAGATAAATATAAACAAACGAAAACCAGAGACAGCATCCAAATTCCCGGACCCAATCTCTGCCTGTAGTTGTTCAGCACCCTGAAAATCCATTTCTGTGTGTTGAGAACAATCACCTAGAAACCCTTTAAAAAAGTAAACCTGTCAAATTAAGGCCAATTCAAGGAAAAGAAAGAAACATATACTTACTGAGGAAAAACCACTTTCCAGGTCCTTTAAATTCTTTTATCTCATTTATTCTTCAGACCTCTGTGAGGTAAGATTTATTATCCTCAATTTACTGATGACAAAACTTACACACACACAAAAAAACTTAAAATAACCTGTCCAAGAGCACTCAGCTTTCAGTTGCCATCATGTCACATTTTAGACTTGTCAACCTCCCGGCCCATGGTCTTCTTCTGAATCTGATGCCATTTTTAGTTATCTCATACTGAGTAACAAATTAACCCCAAGCCTAGTGGTTTAAGACAGTAAGTGTTTATTACCTCAACATTTCCATGGATCAAGAATCCAGGAGCAGTTTGGCTACATGGTTACAGCTCAGGATCTCTCATTAGATTACAGTCACTTGTCACCTGGTGCTGGTTATCTGAAGCCTGACTCAGGCTGGAGGATCTCAGGTAGCTCAGTCAAATGCCCAGCAAGTTAGTACCAGTTATTGGCAGATGGCCTCAGTTCATTTCTGGGTGGATATGTTGCTTCAGTATCTCAGTGACATGGCAGTGGGCTTTCTCCAGAATTAGAGATTTAGAAAAGAGAGCAAGGCAGAAGCTGCCTTTTTTTTTTTTTTTTTTTTTAATGAAAGACAGCTTGGGAAGGAGGGCGAGATAGAGAAGGAAGGAGGTATTTTGTTACTGTTCTCCTGCTCCAGCCTCCCAGTTAGCTAGGACCTCAGGTGTGGGCCAATGTACCCACCAGGTTTGGATTGGGCCAGCAACCAATCAGGGCATCCCGTTTAGCTTCTGTCACCACACAGCAACATCCTCCCACCTGCCCCACTGCAGTGGCTGGGCCAGAAGCAGCCATATCATTCATGTTCTAGTCTCAGAAGTCATGTTCTGTCAGGGACCAGCAGTTAGCGTAATGGCTATGTTGCTGGACTCCCATGTAGTTGACCGTGGTTCGCGTCCCGGACCCAGTGCCTTAAAACTCACGCTGGGCACGTGTGCATGCATGCCCAAGATCTCGAGAGGAGAATGGAGGAGAAGGGATTGTGGCGTGACCATCCCCCCTGGAGGGTGACTTCTCGCTTTCTATCTGTCTCTCTCTGTCTGTCTGGCAAGCGCATGTGCCCTATAGCAAAAACCTCTCCAAAAAAAAAAAAAATGAAGTAATGCTCTGTCGTTTCTGCAGTATCTCATTGGCTACACAGGGCAACCATAGTCAGAGTGGAAGGAGACAGTACAGGGATGTGGATATCAAGAGGTGAGAATCATCAGATGGCCTCTTCGAAGATGGTTCCCACAGTCGCTCTCATAGATGATCTTAGTATTTTTATACAGAAAGATTAACTATTTGTCTTTTAGTTTATATGAGTAATATTATGTACTTGTTACTAAAATATGATGAGTGAGTAATATTATGTACTTGTTACTAAAATATTATCCCTTGATACGAGGAATTCATTTTTAACACTCTATTTTCTTTAGAGTTCCTGGCAAGAATACTTAC